ATTATGGAGGCCACTGTGCTCTTAGGAACCTTAAGTGCAGCAGAAATGTTTTTGTAACCTTGGCCATATCTGTGCCTTGCCACAGTTCTGTCTCTGAGCTCTTCAGGCAGTTCCTTTGACCTCATGATTCTCATTTGCTCTGACATGCAGTGTGAGCTGTAGGGTCTTATATAGACAGGTGGGTGGCTTTCCTAATCACGGTCAATCAGTATAATCAAACACAGCTGGACTCAAATGAAGGTGTAGAACCATCTCAGGGATGATCAGAAGAAATGGACAGCACCTAAGTTAAATATATGAGTGTCACAGCAAAGGGTCTGAATACTTATGACCATGTGATATTTCAGTTTTTCTTTTTTAATAAATCTGCAAAAATGTCTGAATACTTTCCGTACCCACTGTATAATCTAATGTGAAAATCATGTATTACAGTTGATTAAACTGCATTTATTTTTAGATAGCTGCTCTAGTTTACAGCATATACAGTGCTTTTCAAATTAACTAGCTCCCTACCCATCCTACCCTGCTTCCCATGCCCAGTATTGAGGTCTCATCCCAGCCCTTATGGCCTGGCACCAATCCCACTCCCCCCTGCATCTTTACTTTAGGCACCACACCTAAATTAACACATCACAGGGTCCCACTGAGTTGGCCTAAGGTGTTCCTGAATTGGCTTTGAGCTTGGCAGGCTATCTTTACAAAAAAGCTGGAACAAGGGTAGAAGATGTAACCAGTCCACTGGGAAATATGACTGCTTTATTAGTATGGATGTCTGTGTCTCGAGGGAGGTCACACAAAGCTAAACATATTCAACAGTATCCAGCTAATACTGTACGTGTTACCTGGTGTGTTTTCATTTTTCTTAATGTATATATTGTGCAACTGAATGTATTCCATGATAAGGTTTTATTCTCCCCCATTCAAAGACATGTTAATGAGGGTAATAACAAGAAAGTGAGTGAGCGTGATTATGAACTCCTCTGAGGCTCCTGCAATGCTTGGGGCAATAGCCATTTCAGAGATGAAGGGACATGCATACACACATGTACTATATGTGCATGCACACTTCTGATGACTGTCAGATGGCACATGTACAGGCACAACACTCAGGCGAGCATGGATTATTATTGGGCACAAACGTACTAACCTATTATCATTAATTACCTCAAATGTCCATCATGACTGACTTATTTTTTAATTACCGAGTAATAAAACAAAGGTCATAGACAGAGCAAGCAGATCCCTTCCAGGCTATCTCACTGTGCACATGCTCATAAAAAACTGTGCTAGATTTAATGTGGGTACTTAAATGAACCATTTCCTCATTATGCCTCCTCAGAGCACATGGGGATATATTCTGTGTGAATTACAGTCGTACTGTTCAGTGAGCTGCTGCTGATAGTGATCTGGCTTTCACAGGCGATGGTCTGAAGTTATTTTAAACTATCTGATGCCGATATTGGAACAAGTCGATACAGAACTACATGACTTCATGATCAGGTACATACATACACACACACACACACACACACACACACACACACACTTTTTATTTCCTTCCATTATCACTGTTGCATTGAACTAAAAAATGTGAAAAAGTTGATCTTTTCATGTTTGGTCCAATAATTTGTTCTATACAATATCATTTTCTCTACAACCAAGTGGAGAAGTCATTGTTGTCTCTCTGTGGTGTGTCCAGATAGAGGTGATTCATGACTACCAGGAGAGCCAGAGATGTGTGTCATACAGTCTGGAGGGAGAGGACAGCCCAGAACTCTTGAAGCGGTGAGGCGGAGGCGTCCGTCCACCCATCTGTCTGCTCAGTACTGCTCTTGATGTTGTTTACTCTGTGATTCTCTTTGTTCAGCGGTAATGATGCCCTCTGGCACTCTCTCTCTCTTGTCTATGTGTGTGTATGTTTGTGTCACAGCCATGTGATGAGGGAACTCGTAGAGACAGAAAGAATCTATGTGGAAGAGCTGCTGTCAGTGCTGCTGGTGAGACATTGATTTTCCTTTTTAGTGTGTCACAAGGATCTTTCCACAGGCGTAGTATGGTCATATGTTGTACATATACTAAATATTGCAGGGCTATAGGGCTGAGATGGACAACCCAGCTCTGTCAGGGCTTCTGCCCCCAATCCTGCACAGCAAGAGAGACATCCTCTTTGGAAACATGCCTGAGATCTACAATTTTCATAGCAGGCGAGTGATTAATTAATCACAAACACTACAGACCTGTCTGCAATGCATACAAAAAACTGACCATCACACACTGTTATGTCAAGAATTTTATTGACACTAGCAGGTTATCAATACTGTGCAAGAATACATTAAGAACAGAATTAGAGTTTTTAAATGACAACATATTGTTTCTTGAGCAGGATCAGCAAAGTTTACATTGTACTTAAACTGTAAATAAAAAAGGGTTATCACTAATGCTGATGATTCGTTTTACACCTGTAGCAGTAAAATGTTTGACATCGCACCCAAACATGTAGCAGTCAACGATTTATACAGTGGAGTTTTTATTTGTGCTGTTATTTCCACTGCTTTTGTCACCAGTCTAGTTCGGAAATGACTGTTACTAAAAGAAATTAGAGTAAGTGATGGTTACAGTGGGTTCTGTAGCATACCAGTAACTCCATGTACCTGTCATTTCATGTACTGAGGTTGATTTGACCTTTGGCCTCTGACCTTTCCAGGGTTTTCCTTCAGGACCTGGAAGGATGCCTGGAGGCTCCTGAAAGTGTTGGAGCTTGTTTTCTGGAGCGGGTGAGAAGACAAATGTTTGTTGTATAGCTTATTTTTTTATTTTGATCATACATATATTTGTGCATACTGTAACTTGTTTCCATCATTTTCAGATTTCTCTTTCTTGCCTCCCCAGAAAGAAAGTTTCCAGATGTATGAATGCTACTGTCAGAATAAGCCACGCTCTGAGGCGCTCTGGAGACAATTCTCTGACTGTGCCTTCTTTCAGGTCTGCCAGATTCATTCACTGTTTTGTTGTCAGCCAGATATATTTACAATATTTCAAGTACTATAAATATTTGCCTATTTGTTTGATACAAAGCCAGAACTAATCTTAAAGTACAGTTACAATTAAAAACCTGTGGTCCATCTCTGACATTACAGTGCATCCATTGTGGTTTCATTTGTCTTTGTAAAGGAGTGTCAAAAAAAGCTAGAGCACAAACTGGGCCTGGATTCCTACCTGCTGAAACCAGTCCAACGCCTCACCAAGTATCAGCTGCTGCTGAAGGTAAGAGAGAAACATATACACACACAAAGTCAGTCACCTGCAATGTGAATCAGGGTATTTTATGCTACATTTTATAATATTTTTATTGTACTTCTATTTAGGGGTGGAACGGTTCAAGTAAAAAAAAAAAAAAAATCCAAACTGTTCAGTTCACTAACCACAGTTTGGGGCATGTGTGTATTGTTCGGTTCATTTGAAATAGGTTGAGGCACGTGCAGAAAAAAAAATCAGCCTCTCGCCAACAACCCAGTGAAACTTACTGGCACTAATGAAATGTCGATTGCAGCTGTCAGTCAGTCTTATAAATGGCCAGTGCACAAGACAAAGTACAGTTAGAGGACAGGCCGGCGTTGTTTCAGTCTGCTATGGATTTACTGTATAATAAATAACAAGCATGTGGAAATTGTCAGTTCTGTGGGCTACATTAACTCCAACCATAGAATGTGTAGGCTGAGCTGATGTCCATGCATCAACAACACCTATCAGTTTCCAAATCCACTGTCAGAAGTGATTGGCTACAAAACTGGTTCTGAATCATTACTGTAACAACTGTTATAAGTCTTTACTTCTAAAGTGCACTGATTTCATTGTTTGTGTTGTTGTGTGTGCATGTTTATACCAACATGGCTGTCGTTTTGTGTGTGTATTCTCAGGAGCTGCTAAAATACAGTGCAGATTGTGAAGGGGCCTCTGAACTACAGGGGGCACTAACAGCCATGCTGGACCTGCTCAAATCAGTCAACGACTCCATGCATCAGATAGCCATCACAGGTTATGAGGTGAAACAACTTTCATCTGTGTTTGACAGATGAAAACTGAACTTTCTGAACTGATAAACAATTAATTTAGCATAAATGTGCTAAAGCATTCATTTTACAGATAATATATTTACAACCAGTGCTTACACATAAATGCTTCCTTCCATTATATATGCAGGGAGACATTTGCGAGCTGGGCCGTGTGTTGATGCAGGGCTCGTTCAGTGTGTGGATCAGCCATAAGAAAGGCCCCACACGCATGAAAGAGCTGGCTCGCTTCAAGCCGATGCAGAGGCACCTCTTTTTGTATGAGAGAGCTCTACTCTTCTGCAAGCGGAGGGAGGAGCACGGAGACGGCCATGATAAGACCCCCTCATACAGCTTCAAGCACTATCTCAAGGTCTGTCTTTATGTGTTTGCACTTTTTCAGGATACTCTGGTGTTTTTGCCCATTAGTTAAATGTTAAAAATTGAATAACAATATTTGATTCTTAGCAGATCACTTACTCCAGTTCTCAGAACAACAGTACCCCATAAACCTGTAGTTTGTTGAGTGAGAAGTGTTGTCCAGGTTGGTTACATGTGTTCATGGTTGGTAATGTCGAATTATTGCTGACCACATGAAATCACTTATTTGTTACCAAGCAAGCTATATTTACTGTACTTCCTGACATTTTATTTGAGTGTCACACTGTCAGAATGATGATGATTTTGAGTGTTTTGATTTACTATACAGTAAACTATCGAAATTTTATTACGTAGGGAACAGGGATGTAACGATATTTGTAATTTTGCTATATTGAGATAGAAAAATGTCTCTAATGTCATGGGACTATGATGTTTCTACACATGGCTATTTCATTAGTATAACTGCATGCTGGTCGCAGAATCAAAACACTGTACAAAAACACTGATGTTCCACTGCCTTATATTATTTACAAAATTCAGGTACTGCAATAATATTTTATTTTATCTCATAAAAGGACTATTACATTATAGGGCTGTCACTTTTCTTTCAAATTTCAAACATTTGTTCTACAGGAGTCATTCTGATTACAGTGTATGTAGTATGTACCTGGCTTACTTCCAAAAATTGTAAATGAAATTGTTACACTAATGCCTTAATACAGCAAATGCTCATCCCTTAGTAGTTCTCTGCCACTGTCACTAAAATGGTAGTAAATGTGTAAATGGCCCATCTGGCCACAGAACCTAGTGTATTCCCAAAAGGCTTCCTCTGTTCTGTGTGTTGTTGTTCGGAGGGCGTCACAGCTGGTGACACACCAACAGCAGCTGCTGCTAGTTTTGATTTATTGTTGAAGATGTGAGTAGGAAGCAGTTTCACAGCAGAGGTGTGAATGTTTTTGTTCTGACAGGACGGATATGCTACAGTGACGTACAGTAAGTCTGATGCACCCGGTGCTGTTTGTGCTGCCTATGTGTGTCGGTGTAAACAGTGTGTCTCCCCTGGCAGATGACTGCTGTGGGGATCACAGAGAACGTCAAGGGAGATGTGAAAAAGTTTGAGATCTGGTACAGTGGCAGGGAGGAAGTCTATGTGGTTCAGGTAAGGAGTCCTCAAAGGTTTAAGCCGAGCATTGTTCAGTAGCTTAAACGCAGTACACCTCACTGATAAATTGGTCAGTTTTTTTACTATTACTGTAGTTTTAAACCCCGTCAACCCAACTTTTAAGCAAAATTGGCAAATATTCACAGGTTTCACCTTCGCAAATATAATCTTTGCTGTTTTTTGTAGTCCTCTGATAGTAAGTTGAATATTTTTGAGGACTGGGCAATATGTTGGACATGACTAGACATTTTAAAGCATCCCCAATAGCTTTGTAAAATTGTGATCAGCATTTTTAACATATTGCTGACAGAAGGAATGGTACCACTGTAGCACTGACCTGTTTCTGTTGTTTCTCAGGCTCCTACAGTGGAGGTGAAGATGGCCTGGCTCAATGAGCTTCGCCGAATCCTGACAAACCAGCAGAAGCTGCTTCGAGGTATGTGAAGACACACAGTCAAGTTAATAAGAGATTCTAAACACAAAGGTCCACACAGTAGCTTCAGAGCTTTGAACTGCGTTTCACTCACAGCCCTCAGAGAACACGAGATGTTTGAAAGCTCTGAATCCACCAAGTGAATCTTTGTGCTTAGAGGTTAACACACTACTTAGAATCAACTGGAAATTTGCTCAGAAAGTTTAATCCCTCTTTGTACTCCTCTTTCTTTGTCTTCTCATAGATGAAGTCTATCAACACGGCCAAATGGTTGAACACATGCATATTTCTCTACCATTCTCTGAGAGGTCAGTGCCTGTAGTTGTTTACAAATACAGTATTTACAGTAGTGTGTTGAGTGCATGATGTAGGCTATAGTCGCGCAAACATCCAAACATCCATATGCAGAACACACACATGCAGTCACAGCAGGACTGTCTGCATTTCATGTTGCCCTTGTAGAAAGCTTTGTATGTGTGGTGGTGTGAGAATGAGCCCCACTCTGTCCACTGCTGTCTCGTTGCCTATCCCCACTCCTCCCGTCCCCTACCTGCAGGGGCTTGCGGCCATCCAGAGGGGTTCCCAGGGGCTGTCTGCCGGGGCTGGATTTTGTCACGCTGTCGGCTGACGCGTTTCTGTGCCTTCGTTCCCGGAGCCCCTGCCCCCGAAGCCCCCGGCAACGGCCCCGGCCGTGCCCCCGCCATCGCCCCCAGCGCCACTGACCTGCCCTTTCGCTCAGTGGTAAACTCAGCCTGGCTTGGCTTGCCTCATGCTGGCATGATCCACCTGGCCTGGCTTTGGAACCAAAAACCAAGCACCCATGTTTGTGTACAGATCATCGCCTGCACCTCCTTTTATTGCCTCACTGTGGTTCATAACTGACCCCCTTGCTACCTCGAGAGCTGTGTCTCAGCAGCTTTTCCATGGTATTTCTAACATGGTCTCAAAAACAACTTCTCCTAGTTCTGCATATCAGATTTGTTATTTTGCATGTAATGCAAAGGGGGCAAACAAAGAGTTTTGATTTCATTCCATAAATGTTCTTAATTTCCTCATGACAACTGCTTTTTAAGATGGGGCCTTTTTTTTTTTTAGATGAAGCTACTGTAGATTTGCTTTCCAGAAACACTATCACTCATCATATAGCGTGTAAACTGAGACCAGATCTTCCCTTGTGTTGACACTATGTCACATTTTACAGAGGAGCTTGCACATGGCTGCTCTGTGTCCTGCCCTGCTGTCTGACTGGTGCCTGAATGGTCATGGCTGTGTGAGAAACAACAGGAGAGAGTTGTTCCTTGACACTGGTCTGGGGCCAGTTTGACTGTTCGCTCCTCTTTTTGGTATATAGTAGATTCAGGAAGTGGGAGCTGACCCCATACTGTGTGTCTGAGGATAACATCTATCCTGAGACTGTCCGTTGACTGTGCACAGCATTTAGTGATGCATGTTGTTTTGTGCTGTTCTCCTAGCAAGCAGCAGAGGGCGTCAGTGAGTTCTGAGGACACTGACTCGGGGAGGAGCAGTCCAGACCCCCATTCCAACTCCCCTAAACACCAGCACAACCGCAGGAGTGAGTAAATCCCAGTTATACAAATTGAAACTACAATCAAGTAGTTACTTAGTAACTAAATTGCAAAAAATGTTAAGGGAATTACTCCAAATCATACTTAATTTGCACACTGTTGTGCTGCTGTTGCTAATTTTCTTCATAATTTATAACTGATATAGATATTTGACTTTTCCTCCCTCAGCGTTTCAGGTGTACTTTGACCTGAAGAACCAGGTACATTGAGGAATCTGGGCGAAAAAGGTCCATCTACTGAGATTAGCTTTTGATTCTACATTCTTGTTAATTTCTCAGTAAGGGCCAAGGGGTCATTATATTGTTGGCATAGTTACTAAGTATCTACTTGGTGCCTTTACGGTGTCGTATTCTGAAGAATGTGTTGATCAGTACCAGTAACAGCCAAAGCTGTGTCTGTCCCAGGTTGGCCTGGAGCTCATCACTCGGTAGACATCTGCGAGGGTTTGGAGGAGTGGCCTCGAGGTCGGGACACGTTCCATCCATCTGACATGGATGAGGTTTTGGTGCAGCTGGTGAGAAGGAATACAGTCACATTAGATACAATACAGTAAATGATGGTGCTCCAAGTTAGATGCCATGAAACCAGAAACGGAATGTGACCTGTATCCGGCTATGTACTAAACCCCCTTTCAGACATGCACCCCTAACCAGGAATTTGCCGGCTATTTCACATCTAGGCATCATGTCTGAACAAAGCCAGTGTTACTGACAATTGTACTTGATGGAGCCTAGTCAAATAGCTACATGTCTGAACTGAAGTGGTCAAACTTCCGGTAAGGGCACAGTCAAGATGACGACCGTGCTACAGTATAACACACATTTTTTCTGTTCTTACTAACGCCACCTCCTCTCTTCATTCACACTAGCTCGATCAACGAACGCTGCACTCGCTTTGGTGGAGTAGATTTAGGGCAGATTGTGAAATTTGGGCACAAATACACTCAATCAAAGAATGTAACATCACTAGCTAGTGCAAACTGGCACAGCGAAGATAGGGTTTAGAAGCGTGAGCTAATGCAGAATGGCTGCAAATTGGTCCAGCATGGAATTCAGAGAACTGTTCATCCTCTGTGCAGAGGAGGAAATTACTAATAAGATAAATAGTAAATGGCATTGCTTTGTGTCTGTCTCGTGATATTGGAACTCGTCTTAAATGGACTATAACTTTGAAACCAACTTGAATTAGCTTAGTGGACCAAGAGAAGCTGCATTTGAGCCTCCGATGAACTTTGGAGTAAATTTTTGCACAGAATGAGAGTTGGGCATTTTTTTAGCCTATTTTTTTGCAGTGCAGTTGCGTTCTGGGTGGAAACATTCAGGGTCAGTGTGGAGAATAGGAGAAGTGACAATGACCAAGACCTAGTCTCTCACACAGGGATACATCAATATTGTTTTAACACCTACTTGAAAAATCCTGAACTATTCCTTTAAGACACGTACACAAGGACTTCAAATGTCATTCTCGACCTTGGAAATGGCAGTTGACAAAACAGCCTCACTGCCACTTAATAGCTCTTTTAGAGCTTTTGATCGTATCACTCAATCTAAAAAAGAAAAATGTCATTCTCACGTGATTTCTGTTTAAATTTTTTCATACATATTATAAAACCTCTGCAATCTTGATTGTTCCAGTTAAGATAATTCTGTGGCCTCTTTTCTAACAAAGATTGAAAATGAGAAGGTGTTGGCCTCTACAAGGTTAAAAAACATACAGTAACTGCTGTATGTTTGATCTTTTGTGTCTCTGAACCTTAAGTCTCTGAGGTCAGCAAACAAATGTCTACTTGATGTAGAATGTAGTGAAGAAAAACCATGCATTTGCTCTCTTTGCACTGAAACTGAAATAGTTTCTCTCTTAGAATAAACTGAATTGACATACTTCTCACGGTAGTTACAGCCACTTACTTTTCTGAACTTTTTGATTACTTTTGTTTTTCTATTTCAATTCTATTTTGTGGCTTTTGTGCCTGTTTGAGATTTTGTGCTTAATCATGCCTTCTTATGATGTACTTTATAGCTCTTGCTTTCAAAAGAGTGATATAAATAGATACTGTATAAATAAATCTTTTCTTACTTTGTGCTTGACAGTTTTCTTCCTGTGCCAGTCTCCAGGCAGATACAGGGCTTTGGCTGACTGTCTTCAAAATGGACCAGACAGTGTCACCATCAAGTGCGAAGACATCATCCAGCTGCAATCTGAAGACAAGGGTCGCTGGTGAGTTATCAGCCTATCAGCACAGATGATTTTCAGTAAACCATAGTGCTCGAGTGTCAACCTAAACCTGGTAGCAAAGTTTATTTCTCTAATTTCTTTTCACATCCTTTTGTTTTTCCTTATCTCAACCCATTCCTCACTTATCTTAATCTTTCAGGCTGGTAAAAAATCTGAGTCAGAGACAAGAGGGTTTTATAGCAGCCGCCAGCCTGCAGCTGATTGTAGGAGACAGCAGTCGAGCACACTCCTCCAGACTAGGGGGTAAATGAAAAACATTGGCTTCCAAGATGACAATATAGTGTTGAGCCATATCTGACTTAGCTTTTCTTTTTAAAAGTCTTTATCCTTTCTTGTAGACCCAGGCAACCTGAAGACAAGAAAGCTCAGCTCCCCATAGAGAAGAAGCACAGAATGTGAATCTAATATTTACCAGTGGATGATGAACAGACTGAGCCAGAGCTGTCTCACAGCTGTATCAGCCACCCACTCCTCACTCCCTGGCGCCGTCTGCTTTTCTTCGGCACAGTTTGACCATTACAAAGAAAAAAGTGGGAAACCTACAAGCCTGATTTTCTCACAGGTTTGACTGACGAGCTCTTGGGGCTAGTGTTTTGTGATAGTGAAGGTGTGCACCAGCTCCACGGCACAGGAGCTGTTAGACCTCTTGGACAATCAACCGATCCCTAAATCCTGATTGGTCTTCCTCATTTTTGAATGTTCTTCCGGCGCCCCATCTGCAACACACATATAAGCAGGATGTGAGTTGCTACTGCTAATGCAGTGGGCCATTTTTCTAAGTGTGGACTCAAACATTTTTCAGCTCTTCCTCATTGCAGTTCTGAGTGCGAGTCTTCCTGGTTGTCTCATTGTGTGTCAGATGGATGCTTACCTAAGATTTACCTGAAATATTTCTTACAGCAGAGACTTTTGTACATGTATGGTATCATTTTTAACATTTGCTGTACCTAAGTGTTTCATCTTTGTGTAATTAGGTGACATTTTCCATTGAACTACTTCAGCGCATTTTTCTTACCTTTCATTCCTGAAGGCACCTCTTTTGAACAGACTAGAAATTAAAATGCCAAAATGTGCCATGCCATAATGCCTTTTTTATTCTCGCTCTTTTGGGGTCTCTTGTATGTACTGTTTGCATAATCAAATGCTCTTCCTGCTTTAACCTGACCTCCCAAATATCCAACAGGCACTTTAATAAGGTGGAAGGACAATAGACTAAAATCCACCAACTGTCCTACTGAATGTGTTCTTTGCTTGCCGCTTTACCTCCTGTATGTATTTCACCTTATTCATGCTGCTATTTCCTTTGTGTATTCTTGAATGTATGATGTGTTAGCAAGGCAGGGGAGACTTACCCTCTGCATGCAGGCAGTAGTTGACGTCACTGACGGCCACGGTGTGCACTGTAGACGAAGGGGAGGCGTGTGCCACAGACAACCAAATACTATCACTCTCTTCAGGTCTTTAGGGAGCTGGCTGTCAGTCACAGTGTAGAGAATGCAGAGACTATGTTCTGTGTTCCCTCCATCATAGTGGCAGATCGTTTCCTCCTCACCATTGCAGCGCACTTAATTTTGGGTTCCCCAGTAAAATGGATCATAGAACCAACATAAAATATACCCTCTGTATTGAACACTTAATTAAATATTGATTGCAAGCTTATGTGAATTTACGACATCAAATCGAGGCCCCAGTCGGAGGGCTGCCTTTGATACACTGTTTCATATGGAAATAAGTCTAGAAAGCACCAGAAGCCACTGCACAATAAACATTACCTGTTAGAAATTTTATTTTGCTTTAAAAATGTTCCTTCATATTGTGAGGTATCGGTGCAGCCCTGATTCAAAGTACATCTCCATATATTTACAGGAGCTATGCCTGACTGCAGAAAAAAAGATTATAACAACATTTAATGGACTCTATGTAACATTCATCCTAAATGCTGCAGACTTTGCACAGATTTTCCAGGTTGGGAAAAAAAAATTGCTTGAATTATGTATCCCGATGAGCCAAGTAGTCAAAGGTTGTTGCTGAAAATGCATGGCAGCTGAGCAGCGAGCAAGTTTGTACTCTAATCAATATTCTAAACTGGTTTCTTTTTATACTGCTTCAAGTTCAGTAAAAAAAATCAAAAAAATAAAACTATTTAGTGCAATTCCTTTGGTAACTGAATTTATTCAGTATTTACCATGGTGATACATTTGGTTGATACACTAATGTAGCAGTATCTGTTTTTTGTATTCTTGTTTTTATGGAGGCCATCTTATACAACATAAAAACTATAAACAGTAATACAATTGTTTCTCTTTTTGTTTCTTGTAGTTACACATAATTTGATGCCTGGGTTACTAAATACTACTGTGTGTCTGTCACTTTCGGCTGTTCCTGTTAGGGGTCACCACAGCGAGATGATTCACATGTTGAAATTTGGCACGTGTTCTATGCCACATGCCCTTCCTGGCACAACCCTGAGATAAACCCAGGCAGCAGCAGCGGCGAGAGTGCTGAATCCTAGCTACTAGTCCATCAGGGATCCACTGAATACTACTGTGTGTAAAACACTTATTTACCAGCAGAAGGGAGTAATGTCGCAGAGAGGAAAACCCTGACTGTTGTTTGTGCCTATGTGTCAAACAGTAGCTCAGAATATGTGGCCTTCTTGGAGACCCTGGGTGGGGTCCTTGATGGGGCACCACCTGGGGACTGTGTTTGACAGGGGAGGAGAACTGCTGACTCGGACTGGAGATATTGCCAGGCAGTGGAAGGAGCACTTTGAGGAACTCCTGAATGCGTCTAACATGTCCTCCAAGGAGGAGGAAGAGGTGGAAGACTCGGGGGAAACCTCACCCATATCTAAGGCAGAGGTCACTGAAGTAGCCAAAATGCTCGTCAGTGGCAAGGCACCAGGAGTGGATGAGATTCGCCCTGAGATGCTGAAGGCTCTGAACATCAATGGGCTGTCTTGGTTGACATGCATCTTCAATGTCGCATGGAGAACGGGGACAGTGCCTGTGTACTGGCAAACTGGGTTGGTGGTTCCCATTTTTAAAAAAGGGGACTGGAGAGTGTGCTCCAATTATTGGGGTATCACACTACTCAGCCTCCCTGGGAAAGCCTACGCTAGGGTGCTGGTAAAGGAGGCGCTGACCAATTGTTGAACCTCGGAATCAGGAGGAACAATGCGGTTTCTGTCCAGGTTGTGGAACGCTGCCCCAGCTCTTTACTCTTGCAAGATTACTGGAGAGATCCTGGGACTTTACACACCCAGTCTACATGTGTTTTGTGGACTTGGAGAAGACTTATGACCGGGTCCGCAGTGGGATCTTGTGGAGGGTACAGGGCACTAGAGCCATTGGTACAAGCCATTTGGTTCTTGTATAGCCAGAGTGACAGTTGTGTCCATATACTCGGCAAGAGGTCAAACATGTTCCCAGTTGGTGTTGGCCTTCGCCAGGGCTGTCCCTTGTCAGTGATTCTGTTTGTGATCTTCATGAGCAGGATCTCAAGATGCAGCCGGGAGGAGGAAAATGTCAGGTTTGGGGACCTCAGAATTGCATCTCTGCTATTTGCTGATGATGTGGTTTTGTTGGCTTTGTCAGATGGTGACCTCAAGCATGCACTGGGGCAGTTTGCAGAAAAATGTGAAGGCAGGGATGTGAGTCAGCACCTCCAAGTCTGAGGCCATGTGCTCTGCCAGAAAACGGTGGACTTCTTTCTCCGGATTGGGAGTGAGTTACTGCCACAAGTGAAGGAGTTTAAGTATCTTGGGATCTTTTTCATGAGTGAGGGTAAAATCGAGCATGAGATTGATATGCGGATAGGGGCAGCATCAGCAGTAAAGTGGACGTTGTACCGGACTGTCGTGCTGAAGAAGGAGCTGAGCAGAAAGGCAAAGCTCTCAATTTACCAGTCTACGCTCCATCCCTCACCATTAGTCATAAGCTATGGGTTGTGGCTGAAAGAGTAAGTTCGCTAATACAAGCTGTTGAAATGAGTTTCCTTTGTAGGGTGGCCGGATTTACCCTTAGAGATAGGGTGCAGAGCTAGGTCATCCGGAAGGAACTTGGAGTAGAACTGAGGTGAGCTCAGGCATCTTATTAGGATGCCTCCAGGTTGCCTCCCTTTGGGGGTCTTCTGGGCACGTCCATTTGATATTGTTGTTATTATTATTATTATTATTTCAAACTTAGTTTCATGAATTGCATGCCACATTTATGACATAGTTGAGTCCAAGCAACTTGTAAACCAGTTTTTTTTTTTTTATCTTAAATTTAAGGAACAGAATCTTCCACATCAAATGCCAGCCTGTGTTTAGTTAATCCCATGACCTGGTTTATCCATTGGTAGTAAAAAGACACACGAGTGTACACACCATACTTCCCATCTTTTGCACATTCTTCTCCCCAGCTCACGATGCCCGTCAGGAACCACGTGTCATGAATACTGTTTGTGTGAGGACCTCCACTGTCCCCCTGACAGGCATCTTTGGCCTCATTATAGTACCCCGCACAAAACATGCCAGACGTGATCCTGGCCTTACTGCTGCGCTTACACTCTGTCCGATCTGTGAAGGGAACCTCGACCTTCAGCAAGGTGCTAGCCGTAGATCCAAGGAAGCGTGTTCGACCCCAGCCGCTGACTGTAGCTGGGGAGGACTCCTGCACTAGGTACTCAGTAAAGGCCCCGGGCCCTAGACAGATGGGTCGGACTACTCTGGAGAAGACGATGGGAGTTTTGATATACAGCAGGGCGATGTCATGGTTGTACAGGCTTATACTGGCATTGTAGTGTGGGTGTATGTGCTTCTCCAACACTTCATGCTCTTGCTCTGTGCTCTCTTTGATGTCAATGTTAAGCTCCCCTGCAAGCAGAGACAGTATAGTGAGTTAGTTTTTGAATAAATTTACTCTGCAATCAAACACACACAGTCAATGTCCCACAGTAAAAAAAAGAGTGAATTTCCCCTTGAAATGCAATAAATGGCATGAGTTAAAAATTATTTCAAGGATTATGATACACAAAATGAATACAAGGGCTACAGTTAGATTTTCAGGACTAGTGACTCGACTTGGACTTGAGCACTAATGACTCGGACATGGACTCATACTGGAGCTTTGACTGTATTTAGACTTGGAAGCTGGAGATGAGGACTCAAATTTTTTTTGTAATAGGCCCTACCAATTGGACCTAAGGTACTGATATTAAAACCTGTTCACCTGCACCATGCTGTATCCAGCACACCTCATCAAAGTGTACACTCTACTTTTTTATAAATGATTTTTATGTATCGAATCGCTGAGCGATATCATGATGCAATACTGTTAGAAAGTTTGGGGGCGACAGTGGTGCGGTGGTAGAGCAGTCATTTCCCAACCAGAAGGTTGAAGGTTTGAATCTCGGTGCCGGCAGTCCACATGTCGAAGTGTCCTTGGGCACTTGACAGTCCAAAACCCAAAGTTATTTAGTTACTATCACAGAAAGGCAGCCAGCACTCACAACTGAGAGGCGAGAACCAGATCATTTTAGCCCTGTTGCTCGACTCAAATGATTAATCTATTATCAAAACAGTCGACTAGTTAACCAATGAACCAACTAGTTGTTTAACCTCTACTTTACACAGAGCTTCTCAATTATGTTAGAGGAGAGGTGAAACTAGTCAGTGGTGGTGAATCTTACCCACTCTGATGAAGAAGGGTCCCTGTGCCTGCTCTATGCAGTGAGCAGCAGTAATAACCCAGTGCTCGCTGAGAATGGATCCCCCACAAAATAGCTGACCACTGCGATGGTCTATCAGGGCTACCTGCAGAGAAGAAAAAGGACTGTGAATGGTAACAAGAAATTGAACATATTCCAGCTGCCGTTTCTTTTCCCCCTTGTATTTACTGTAACAAGCATTAATACATTAATACTACATACTACACTACATACATTACTACGTCTTCTGCACTATACCTGCCAAGGGATCTCTCCTGGAATCACCTCCGTACCACCTATAATGCGTTTAAAAGGATGAGGAGACTCCTCAGTGAGGTCATCAGTGGGATCCTCAGTGAGGTCATCAGTGGGATCCTCAGTGGGATCCTCAGTGGGGTCCTCAGTGTTACTGTAAACCCACAAGGGCAGTTTCTTTCTGGGTTGATTTCTTACAGAATTATTTGTGGCAGGAGAAGTTGCTGCAGTACTAGCTGGAACTGAGGGAGGGGCTGAAGCAGCAGTGGTGCTGGTTAGTGAAGTCGTGTTCTGCATGCTTGTATTTTCATAGCTGAGGAAAAACCTTCGGAATACTGCACTTCCTGATGTCAGGGCAGTTCTACCACATGGGAATTCAGCTGGTAACATGAGAAAAGGGAAGTCACATTGTTGAATTAATAGCCATTATTATATTTAGCACAGCATTAACCAAGAATACGTGACTACTTTCTGGTTCACAGTTGACTTTGTCCTCCATTAGCCTGTATCCGGTCGCACAGGAACATGTTGCTCCAGAGGCTCCTGCTGTTTCACAGAAGTGCACACAATCCCCATTGTTCACATCACATCTCTTTGCTACAACTGGGGAAAAAAACCACATACAAAAACAATTCTGTCATGATCTTTTTACATACATACATGTACAATTACCACATAGAAATTTCTGTTGTTTTAAATAGCACCTATTGCATCGTCAGTCAAGTGTGATTCAGATAAATGCACTCACTACTTACTGAGAGGGCACCTTGGCTGCTGTTTATAGAATTTCCAAAAAAGACAATCGAATTTTGGAACCTAAAACCAGACTGGCGCTGGATGGGAGCCATTGAATTAATTTAGAAACAAGGATAGGAAAAAGGCACTGAGCTGTTGATCCTTTGAGAATAAGATCAGATCTGATCTCATACTCTCAAAACATTTGGATTATGTAGCATAAAAATCTCATTTCTTTTAATCACATTTGTAAACCCAGCCATGGGATTTTGACTTACTGATCTCACAGTTCCTGCCAGTGAAGCCATGCAGACATGTGCAGATATAGGAGCCAATCTGGTCTTTACATGACCCTCGGTTCAGACATGGATGTGATTCACACTGATTACCATCTAAGGACATCCAGACAGTATTTTAGCTTACAGCTATCTAAAAAACAGAAACATCTTCACATAAAAGCAGACAGTATGCAGAGAAATACAGGTCTGTTCCAAGATGAAATACTCATGTTCACTATTTTCTACTTAGTATTAGTAGAAGTCAGTTATTAACAACATCCTCACCTGAATATCCCAGCCAGAACTCCATCTAAAACACAGCCGTCTGTGATCAGTGCAGCCAGTAAATGAAACGATATGCACAAAATCTTTTTTTTTTAAATTAGCAAACACTTACCGTCTTTAATTCATTCTCAAAGATCTCCCTGGCCTCTTCCCAGTTACAAGCTTCCTCCATACACTCTCTCTCCAAGTTGCCTGGCCGCAGCTCCTCAAACCCCCTGGTGTTAAAGCGTTTGGACCTCTGCAGAACGCTGTCCGCTGCTTGACTGGAGAGAAACACTGGGCCTGAGGCTGGAGCTGGAGCTACAGTGAGAAAATAAAAAAAGAAATCATAAGTCTATGTTTAAGTAAATGTCTTATCTTATAGGTCACAACCACAAATATATAAAGTTTACAGATATTCTTTTGCATATAAACAAAGTGAATAGAAAGGATGATCTCCACATGGCACTTATATTTACAACTTCGTAAATAAGACTGCACAATGAAAATAAACCTCAAAATGAAGATAATTTATATTTGATACCTCCAGAACTCAGCTGAAAGCCCAAAAGTGACAAAAACAGCAAAGCCAAAGAATCTAGGGCCATTCCGAACTGCTGTGGTATCCTGGTAGACACACACTGGACCATCAGTCCAAAGTACAAATCTCAGTTTACACATGTACACTCACAAATAATTGTGTGTTTGTTTAGAGAAAAAAACATTCCAAGTCTGCCAGCAAAGGCTCGCGAGTCAACATTCATGTACACAAAGAGAGACTGGAGATCTGTTTCCAAGAACAGGGCTTGCAAAACAGTCCCAACTGATTTACTAGCGGTCTGTCTACAGCTTTGCCCTGATTTTTACCCCTGGTTTCAGGTTTTTTTTTTTTTTTCTGTCAAACAGCTGAATTACATTTGAATGAGTCTGGCAGTATTTGTGGAATAGCTTAATCCTTCCATCAGCTTTTGGAAGTTAACTGAAGACTTGCTAACTTGCCTTGTTCTTTGCCTAGGTCCATAAAAGGAACAAGTTCATCAAATGTACATTAGGCTTTTCACCACAAGATGGTGCATGTACACCAGTCATTCAACAAGACAGTGATAAATGTTACTTATTATTTAACATTGTAGACAATGCACACAGTGACAAACAGTCACAGGTATCCTCTCTGTTGCTAAAAAATGACTATCTGAAACATAACCAACTCTCATAAACAGTTGATGCAACAAACTAAGGTCTAAAATCTCACAGGACACATTTATATGTGTATATCTAATGCTAATTTATTCAGCTATTGTCCAAAACAATTTTCATACCTTTACTTTTGCAGACATTTTAAAATGATGTCCACTTCTTTCATAATTGCTCAGTATGCTCAATCAATACCTGATCAATCAGTACTCAAAGGTGATGACTTGTGTGCCAGCTGAAAATTTCACTCTGGCGTCATTTGTGGTCTGGCGAATACAATGTGACCCATCACTGGCTCTGAATTCCCCCCAGTGGGAGTCCAGAGTCTGCTCGGGTGTTGGCAACTATCGAACCAAGGCATTTATATTTCATTGAATTGTTCAAAGGCTGAATAATTCATACTGTACTTGGGTAATTAACAGTCTGCTCAATATAAGATCGGGATCATTTCGGGCCAATATGAATAGCAGAGTAGACATAGTAAGTTTGCTCACAATATTACGACTTTGTCTGGTGACCAAAAGCCTTTTGATGCCTGATGCCTGATGCAACAAAATCTATTCGCAGTGTTGCAACTTCAGTCCAAAACATTACTGCAGGTATGCTGTGCTCAGCCTTCATTGAGTCATATTTCTAAATGTATGCCTGTTGCTGAGCCTTGTGGACGGGCTGTGGGCTTGATAACTTTCAGCCTAGTTTAATAGAGAGGATACAGACTATTGACTGGGCTTACTATAGCATGTGCAGAAGAAAATAAAAACAAAGGCTTTTCGCTTATTATGATGAGATATGAGTTGAGCAGGCTAATATGGCCGTAATAGAAGAATGGTCTGGATGCATGGATGGATAAAAAAGTCAAATGCTCTGTGACTGACTATTGATCTATGAAGATCTCCCTGAAATTTCTGTCTTCTCTCTTTAGCAGCACCACGCAGCTGAGGAGTCTGTGTCGGCTCCAATTAGATTAGTCACTACAGTGGGGGATCGAGTCAGAGCCTCACAGATAATAAAAGCTGTGATGTTTGCTCACTGCTATTGATTGTTACTGTATAGTATCTCCAGGGCTACGGAGGAGATCAGGCAACACATCAGTCTTTCACCACAGACACAGTGTCATTTGCAGTAGGCTTAGGTTTTTGCTGTGGTGAGACCTTCCTCTGTAGTTGTAAATCTGAATGTGTGTAGAGCTCCAACAAGAAGAGTGCGACCTGGAAGAGTCTGAGCACTGACAAATTCACAGCAGTGCTTGAATTCTTGTGATTTTAAAGGCAAATATAAAGAATAACCACCTTACCAAAAATAAAAAATGAAACCTATTATCACTTTCCAAGTTAACGCTGAGCACAACTTTAGTAGCTAAACACCACCAATAAACTAGAATGTAACCCTCTGCAGCAGCCCAACATGGAACTACAAACCAGCGGGAAAAAAAGGGAAATTTGTCTTAAATAGACTAACTTTGAAAGATACCAGCACAGAATGAGAGCTGTGTATTTTGGCCCTTATTTTATTTTATTTTTTGTAGTGTACAGGTGTCCCCGGTGGCAACATTCAGGGTCGGTGTGGAGAGTAGACGTGTCAGTGACTAAAGCCTATTCTCACACACACAGGGACACATCAATATTGTTTTAACACCAACTTGAAAAATCCCAAACTATTCCTTTAAAGACTTAATCTGGTGTTACTGAGTTTGTGGTCATACAGTAATATCCACAGGTAGTTCCTGTGAGGTGAGCTGTAAAATGAAGCACTGCGGGCCTCAAAGCACAACCCCCCTCCATTACCCCTTCCTCTAGATAAAGTCATTGACATTAATGTGATATTTGAAAGTGTCTCGCTCTGTTAATTAGTATAGTCATTTCTGTAGTTTGAAAGCCGGACATTTCACACCCATTCCTCCGCTTGCCCACATGTGTTCCCACCAAGCCAAACACCTGACATTTTAACAATTGGCTTGATATTTTGCTGGAGACCGAGAGGTAGTGTTTGAATTTATAGGCACACAACGTCATTCACAGTTCAATAGCCTTGAATAGAGTGTTGGAAGCTTTCAAATGAAATCCTGCCAATAAAATGTAAAACACAATCGCAGCAGTGTTGTAATTGAAAGAACAGCAGATGTGAACATTATAAAAAGATTTCATTTTGGCATTTACATTTTCATCCACTCTGGTATGGATTTTAGGTAAAGCTATGTAATAATGATTACAACACCTACAGATGCGGAACAAATGAAGCTAAATTAAGAAAAATATCTTCGTGCCTGAGTTTGCTTGAGTAGCTTAATGGTGCTTATGTTGGCCAGCAGTAAACCAGTCCTGTTGTGAGTCACTGAGAAACCAGAGTTCAAATCCACTAGTGGTTCTGTGAGCCGTGATATAGTTAAGCTGACAAATGCTGCCGGCACAGGGATGTTCAGCCACCATTAATGAAAAGTGAAGCTCCCATCTCTCCTGGTCACAAAGTGCCAGCGAATGTCAAAAATGACTTGGTGAAACGCTACTTTGGACACAGCCAATGAGGTGAAAATGGATCAAATTCATTTTAGTAACAATAAATCTGTTCCAGTTGGACTCTGTGTGTAGTAAAACCTGCTTCACCTGTCTGTGGCCCGACGAGGACTTCGTTACCAGAAGTAAATACCAGAGTGTCAGCTGCACTAAATATATGTAGATCATCTGTCCCATAGCTGAAATATATGCTGACTCTATGACATGAAAGGTATAAAAAAATGCAATCTGGGGAGCAGGCGTGACAGAAATACAACCGTGTGACCCTGACCTCTTTAGATTTGAAATAACTTGCTGACCCCAGTCTGACCTTTGAGCTCTGTGTGGCTCAGAGATAAATGAGCAGGTGCTACAACCAGTGTGCGATGAAATCCATCACTTTTATGTGCGATCCAATAGACATGCACACACTAATGAACAAACACGTGTAGGGCCTTTAAGTCCTTGGTTTTTATCACTCTGGAATATATTTGCTTTGCTTGATGCCCAACACACAAAACACTAACCTCACTAATTCTGCTCAGTCTCTCTCCATACTGTAACAACTTCCCAAATACAATATGTTAAAGTCAATCCGATGTTGTCTATAGTCTTCCTGTTCTATATTAATTGAATACACTCACAATTTACTTTAGAGACACTGAGTATGTACCTTTTGGCACATTTTGAATGTGAAACAAAATACACAGAAGTACTCAAAGACCACCAGCTTGTATGCACTGTCATTGGCCAGCCTGAACCAGCCTGATTAATGTATCAGTCAGAGCTTAAATCAGGCTAACACCAACAATCACAGGCAGACAACTGACCACGCTGCACAATACTGGAGCATTAATCACCTTTCAACACCTCACTGTCTGTCCCACAAATTCATTTTTAGGGGGCTGATCCCTCCTAGCACCTACTATACACTGGCCCCTCCATAAATATCACAGTGTGTGATGTTCAGAGTAACGATTCCAGTGGCTCCTTCATTATTGATCCTATGTTGCTTTGTCGTCTTATGCAAATGATTTATAAGGCAACTCAGTGAGCAGATGTGCTGCGTGGCTGTTACCCATGTGATTGGAAATTGATTTTGATCTGACTGCCCTGATGAATGCACTTTCAGCACAACTCTGGGCTGTAGCTCCCAAAGGCTCATGAAAAACACTTAAATTAGGAGCTCTTTGGGAGAATATACATTAAATGAAAATAACTGATTTAAAAAATATACAGTTAAAGCTGTGACAAGGCTTTTACAATACAGAATATTGTAAGGGGGTGGAAAAAATAACAAATATCTGTAAAATAAGATGGAATTCACAACAAGATCTTTTGCATACTTTGCAGTTTCATGATAATGAATCACGTCAACTTAAGATCAGTCTTCCATACATATCTGGACAGTTAGAAGAAAGGCAAGACAAGGCACATATCTCACAATGCACGCAAAGAGATAAAACATTGATAAAACACTAGAATGCAGATTAGATTTTTAAATTAAATGCTAATTAAAAGCAGCAATGACATAACAGCACAAAACAGCAACCTGTAAGTGCAGACTGTGGATTGTCACTGCTCTCATTACACTTTGTTACCCCTTCACTTCAGTCTTCTCAAGACCAACCACAGTAATTCACACCAGGGGCGAGTGTACTCTCTTCCCAACTTCATGAAAAATAAAAGCAGATAAAGTGTAAAATTTGTTGGAATTAAGATAGATTTATTAAAAGCAGTGGAAGAAAGAGGAAACCATGGCACCTGAAGATCACGCAACATGCAATCTCTTCACCAAATGCCACTGTGCTACCTTCAATGATTTGTTGCTCCCTGAAATACCAATCTTCATCATCTTAAATAACACTTTCAGACCTAACAACCGATCTGCCTAGTAGCACAAATGTGACTATGATCCTCCCACA